CCCCCGGCCCCCCCGGTGCCCCCGGCCGCCAGGTGAGCGGTGGGAGAGGGGAGCAGCAGCGGGGCCGATCCTGATCTTTTAGGGCAGGGTTTGAATATTCCGTGTTCCCCTTGGATTTAGGGCATGCCGGGACACAACGGTTTGCCCGGGCTGCCTGGACCGGCTGGAGACCTGGTAGGTGGTGACAATTCCCATGGGAATGTCCCCTGTTCTGCTCCCCCACCGCAGGGACAATCGCTCCCTCCATCTCCTTCCATCGTTCCATCCCTCCATCCCTGCCCCTTTCCCAGGGACCTCTGGCCGTCATGACTGAGAGGAACATGGAGGTGCTGAAGGTGAGAGGCTGGGGATGGGGTCACCCTCCTGCCCCGGGGGATCCCTCGGGGCACCCTTGACTCCCCTTTCCCCCCAGACTCTCTGCGGGGACTGTGCCCAGCTGCAGGCAGCCCTGGAGGCTCCGCGGGAAGGGGAGAAGGGGGATGGGGCCATGCCAGGTGTCCCTGGCAGCGAGAACTGTGCCCGGGTGAGTATTCCCACAGCTCCGGGAGGGAATTTCTGTGCCCGACATCCCCCGGCCCTGCCAGGCTGAGGCTGCAGAGGAGCTCCCGAGGGCTGGAGAACTGGATTTTGTGGGAGTCGGGGGAAGCACCGCGCTTTGGGGACACCGGGAATGTCACACTGGCCGCTCGGGGAATGTGGGGACACCCCACTGTGATCCCCCACAGCCCCAGCAGGGATCCTGAGGAGGGCCAGGCTGCTCCTCTGTCACAGCTTGGGTGACTCCAGGGTTTTCTTCCAGTGCTTTGCCCAGTTCCCGCGAGCGGAGGAGGCTCGGGTGAGTGATCCCGGTGTCCTTGTCACACCCCCTGGGCCCCAGGGATGGTCCCTGCTGGGTATCCAGGACCGTCCCTGAGTTGTGTGAGCTTCGGGGAGCGGAGGCTGCTTTGGGGAGGTTTGGTGGGCCCAGCAGGTGGGCAGAGCCATCCCAGGGTCCTGATGTGTCCCCACTCCCTCAGGGTGACAGCCCTGACTGTGCCGGTGATCCCGGGCTGCCGGGAGCCCCAGGAATCCCAGGAGAGAGAGGAGAACAGGTGGGTGAGCTCCAACCCATCCACGGACCCTCTCCTGCCATCCCAGCCCCTCCTGGCGGCTGTGGCAGGTCCCGCGGTGCCCCTCGGGGCTGTTCCCACCTCTGTGGTCACACCTGGCACCCCCGTCCCTCTCCAGGGCTCACCAGGACTGCGCGGACCGCCGGGACCACCCGGACCCATCGTAAGTACCCCTGCCCGGGGTAGGGGGGTTCTGGGGGGCTCGGAGCCCCTAAAAGCAGGTTGCCAAAGGGGCCTGGCACCCTGCCCTGAGGCCGTGGTGACACGGCCATGGCGAGGCACAGGTGTGACATGGCATGGCACGGATGTCCCCATGGAGGCTGGAGAAGGAGGTGAAGGTGCTGCCAGCCCGGAGGCGGAGCAGGAGCTCTGTGGCACCCCCGGAGCTCAGCCCAGGCTCCCCAGAGCCTTTTCCAAGCTGTGACCTCCCTGTTTCTCCCCTCAGGGCCCCCCAGGCTTTCCTGGAACGCCGGGCGCACCCGGACTGCCCGTAAGAACCCAGCACGGCTCCGCTCTGTGCCCTGTGTCGCTGCCGCTTGTTTGGCTGTGTCCCTTGTCCCTGTCCCCACCGGGAGCAGCCGCAGCACAACCGCCCCTCCCACTCCATCTCCATCTCCATTCCCACTCCTCCATCCAAAAGCAGGGGGTCCCGGCGGACCCAGCGTTTGCGGATGATCTTCCTCAGCTCAGGGACCTGGTGCTGGCACTCGCCACCTGCTGGGTCCCGTCACCACTGCGGGACCTGGTGCAGCTCCGCGGCTCCAGGTGTGTCAGGGACCTGCCACCTCGGCTGGGTGACCCGTCACAGCTGCCCTGCTGGTCACCGGGGCCACCCCTTGTGGGGACCTGGAGGATCCTGTGTGCGGCCAGTGCTACCTGGGTTCATCCTCCTCCTCCTCCTCCTCCTCTGGCCACTCCTCTGTGGTCACCCAACCTCCAGCACCATCTCCATCTTCATCTCCATCTTCATCTTCGTCTCCACCTCCATCTGCATCCTCCTGCTCCCACCCTGCTCGCTCCCCACAGGAGCTGGTGGTGGGGCTGTGCCGGTGGCTCTCGGAGGATCCTGCGCTCCTGCTCGTGTCCCCTTGTCCACTAATGTCACCGTCACCCCATGGGCTCTCTGGGGCTCTCTGTGGGCCATGCTCTGCGGTGTGCCAGTCTGTCCTGTCGTTCTCTGTCACCTCGGCACCACATCACCCCACTAACCCACCCCACAGGTCCCCCTGGCGCTCCAGGCTGTCCCCGTGTCACCCTGGGAGGACGGGGGGCACCAGGCTGGAGCTGAGGGCTGGAGCCAGAGCTGGGCACCCCACACAGCCCCCAGAGGGCTGAGCCTTTTGTGGCCCCAGGGTCACAGTGACAGGGTTTGAGCGTCCCCACCACGCCTGGGCACTGACCCCGGTGCCAGTGGCGGTGCCAGGGGTGGAGGGAGCCCAGGCAGGGTCCCAGCAGGCTGGCAGAGGTCACAGACCCCATGGGCTGTGCCCAGGTCCTGCTGCCAGGTGGGCACAGCCCCGGGACGGGCTGTAGGAGACCCCCCTGCATCTCCTCTCTTCCCCCACAAAGGGTCTCCAAGGGGACCGCGGCCCTGCTGGGCTCGCTGGAGCCAAAGGGGAGCCGGTGAGTGCTGGGGGACGAGGGGACAGGGGGGACATCGGTGGCCCGTGGGGACTGGCACCTGGCTGGGGTGGCTCAATTTCATCATCCTCACACACAGGGACCTCCAGGACAACCTGGCTACCCCGGGGCCACGGGGCCCCCTGGCCTTCCTGTGAGTACTGGGGGGACCAGCAGTCCTTGCCAGCCCCCTCGGGGGTCCGCATGGCCCTCCTGGTGCTCACTGGGACCCCCCCCATGTCGCAGCTGGGGGACCCTGGTGGGCACAGAGCACCGTGTTCCTGCAGGGCTCATCCCTGTCCTGTCCGTCCAATCCCATCCCACACATTCCCAGTGCCCTGTTCATCCATGCCACGGCCATCTGCACCCTGAGTGTGCTCTGTGTCCCCACATCTCCTCTGCCCCATGTCGCATCCACACCTCAAATCCCACCTGTGCCCCATATCCCACCTGTGCCCCATATCCCATCTGTGCCCCAAATCCCATCCGTGCCCCAAATCCCACCCGTGCCCCATATCCCATCTGTGCCCCAAATCCCATCTGTGCCCCATATCCCACTCATGCCCCATATCCTATCCATGCCCCAAATCCCATCTGTGCCCCATATCCCACCCATGCCCTATATCCCATCTGTGCCCCAAATCTCATCTGTGCCCCAAATCCCATCCGTGCCCCAAATCCCAT